AAACAGTATGTTAAAATTGAAGCCAGATTCAACTGACATTATTGTAAGACTTTATTTAAAACAATTGCTGTATTCCTTTAAACTCCAGTAGGCTCTCAAATCACAATTTAACAGCATGACTAATGACGTACTAAAGACTTGAAAGCAAAGCTGTTACACAGAGAGAGAAACGGCAGAGAAACATTTAGTGTGGTTCAAAAATTCAGGAAAAAAAAATCCCACTAAAAGACAGCATTACATGTTATCTTAGAGTTAATAAAATCATAATTTCTTTAAACTGTAATATATAAACACTTAAACCTCAAGGGTAGGTTTGGCAGTGGAAAGAAGACTGAAAGATGATGAATTTGGTTTACGAATGCTGATGGACAATACTAGGTGATGTTCAAGTGACTTTTTGGAATTAGTAGACTGAATTACTAGTATGTAAATAGTACCAGCAATACTTTATTTGTAACTCTAACCTGTGTCACCCATACTCATACCCTCAACTTTCCTTCCTCATTCAGACAGAACTTGAAGGATCAGAGATAAAAACAATCATGGCTTTGTATATTCATCTTTAAAAACAGAATCATATAAAAGAAATGGGTATTTCACATAATTTACATGCATATAAAGCCTTTTCTTTAAATTGCACAGTTGTCTATTCTTGAACACTGGTTAGAGTGAGGAATGACAAACAATTCACCTCATGCAAACGTAGATATACATTTTTACTCTTAGATGGCTAATTCCAGCTATTAATCTTAAGGAAGTTGACTGATTTATTAAATAAACTGATAAACATACGATCTGAAAAGGGCAAAATTGTCTGTGATGTTTATTAAATATAAGAACAAGCAAGATAATTCAATCTAGTTTTTCTTAAACATTATGTTCCAAAAGGGAATGCTCCTTTTCATTTTAATAATAGGGTAGGGAACACAGTGACCGGTGTAAAATGAATTAATAACAACTGTAATACATTGCCATAAAATGTAAACATTATCTGAAAAGCTGTCAGCCTTGACCAACATCCCCAATTCCAGCCATTAAAAGCAAGAACTTGGCATTTATCTTTCCAGATGATTCACAAAGTTTTTAAATTCTGCTACAGTTTGACTATGTCCCCCAAAATTCATGTGTTGAGCAAGATCCCCACTGTAACAGTATTAAGAGGATGGGAATTCCGACTACGGTATTTGAAAGTTGGGGCCTTTAAGAGGTGATTGGATCATAAGGACTATGCCCTTGTGAATGAATTAATCCATTCATGGAGTAATGGGTTAAGGGTCTAATGGGTTATCAGGGAGTAGACTGGTGGCTTTTTAAGGAAAGTAAGCAAGCACGGAAAGAATGCTCTTCTCTCTCCTTGCCACGTGATACCCTGAGTAGCCATGGGACTCTGTAGAGTCCCTACTAAGAAGAAGGCCCTCACCAGATGTGCCCCTGGACCTTGGATTTCCTATCCTCCAAAACTGTAAGAAAAAAAATTTCATGTCTTCATAAATTACCCAGTTTCAGGTATTCTGTTATAAGCAACAGTAAATAGACCAATACGTATTCTTAATACATATTTTTAGAAAAGTGTTATGATACTGCTGCACAGTCTCCTAATATAGATACACAATTGTCCATTTTATTTTTCATCTATACAGAGCATTTAAATTATTTTTCATTATTTTTTTTTGCATGAAGTCTATGCAGTATATTGGTCACATGCAATGGTGCAGTGACTAATCTCTATATTCTTCCTTGTACACAAAGTAAATGTTTATGGTTGATAGTAAAGACAAATACAAATTAAAAATAACAGGCTTAATCTTCCCTGTGAACATAAGGAGACTCTCCTAGTACTCCCCTCCACAGCCCCCAACACACCCTACTCTGAGAGTATTTACATTAGAGAACTTGCAAGTTCTTTCTCCGTCTCTTTGAAATGTGTGCAAATCTTTTTAAAACTAAATTAGCCCCTCACCAGCTTTCTCAAGGACTTGGGAACCATCTCTTTGAAATGCAGTCATCAGGGAAAGTAGAGCCCCTGTCTGTGGGAGGGTAGGAGCCTAACTATGGTGGACATCTTGCACCAAGTCCCCAAACTACCTCCTGTCATAAGGATAAGAGAAGTTAATTTTTGGCCAACACAAATGGTCACCCATTACCAGGTGAATTTAGGATTAAGCGTGTGTGACAAATGGTCCTGTCATGTTTTCTTAATTAAGGACTAGTTATTTTTAATCTATGACATATATGCCATGTGATAATTGTACTTGGCTATGTAAAAGAGATTTCTTTCTGTCTTTGCAATCTCTCATTGCATTGCCTGTAATGTGCATCATATTCTGGTTCAATGCTTATTTAATAATAAAAAAAAAACGTTTTCCTTCTCTTCTGTTTTCATGGAGAGGTTTTCTGGGCTGGGAAAGATTTTGTTTTTTATTCTATTTCCCGAAGGACAGCAGTTCCACTTCTCATCAAGACATGGACTAAGAGTGTAAACTGAATGGTAATTTTGCAGGGAAACTTGTATCTTTTAAATTAAAATCAGCCTAAAAGCAGATTAAGGATACTTATTTTCCTATACGTTCACTAACAGCATGGATATATAATCAAACCTATTTTTTGTGTGTGAATTTGATAATACCTTGCTTTATTATTTTTTATTTCTTGTTTACTAATACTTGGCACATGAATTGCCTATTCTGTAAAATGCTGGTTTTACAGACTTTGCTTATTTTAACTTGTCTTAGTTTTTAAAATTATTATCCTGTTTATTAAGCTAATAACCTCACCTAATTAAATGGTTTGCAAATATTTTTTGTTACTTGATGTTTTGCTTACATACTCTTGCTATACAAGATATTTTGATGTAATCAACTGTATATTTTTTACTCTTTGGCTTTCAGGATTTCAGAATTTAAAAAGGATTTTCTTAGCCTAATGTCAAAATTTTTCCACATATGCCAAAGTTTTGTAGTTTTATTTCTTGTTTCTTTACTATCAGATTAATTTTCATATTGCATCATTCTGGAAAGCAGTGAGATAGAACTATGACTTACTTCTTTTCCAAAAGGCTGGCCAGTTGTAACAATACGTGAAGATCAGTCCAGCGTGTCAGAACTCTCAAGCCTCTGTCCTCTTTAGTGAATGAGAGCAAATTTATGCTGCCTGTCCATTGTTTAAGACGTTCAGACTCCTTAATAATAATAACTTACGAAAGGAAATAAAAGTGCTGTATTTTTAGGAGTGCTCATATTTTGAGTAACACCATAGATTTCAAACTGATTAGCCCTTGAACTACTGCTACATATTAAAGGAGGTTTTCAAAATGAATTTCACCAACATTTTTTTTTTAAGCAGATTTCAGAGCCCCATCTCTAGAAAACTAACTCAATGAGCCTGAAATTGAAAGGAAGCTCAAGAATTTTTGTTAAGCAACTCAGGTGCTTGCTTCATAGACAGATTTCAGGAAACCAACCACATTGTGAAAATTCACAACTTATGATACAATCACTTTTAGAAACATTACTGGGTTACTGATATATATAGTTGATGAGAAAATTGGAAATTTCATGATGCCTGAAACTCATGCAAAGAGGAGATACATATTCTTTTCATTCATTAAGTACTGTATACTTTTTGTCAGTATTTCAGCTAGCTTGTGTGTACATATGCATGTGTGTGTGTATATATAAAGGTAACTGATTTTTCAAAGTGAGTAAGGAATCCAAAGTAGTCTCTTCTTTCCTTTAACTGTCATGGAGCTGACCCTTATAAAACCAAATTGTGGCAAGAATATAGGAGTAATAGAAAAGCTCAGTTTTATTTCTTTTTTTTTTTTTTTTCCTTTTTTTTTGTCTTTTCGTGACCGGCAACGGATCGCAACCCTCAGTGTCGCGCCCTTACCGGACCGGGACCGGCCACGGGATCGCAACCCTCGGTGTTGCTCCCGCCCCTCGCTCAGCCAGTGAGCGGCCGGTCTGCATGTGGGATCCGAACCCTCGGCGGGAGCGCCGCCGCGCTTCCCAAGCGGCGCACTATAGCAGTGTGCCGCTGGGCCAGCCCTCAGTTTTATTTCTAAATTGCAAAAAAATTATAAATATAATAAACTATCTCACACTGAAATACAGAATCCTGAGTGTTTACAACAAAGTGATAATGAAGATATTGTCCATCCTTAGAAAATACCCTCAGAGAAGATAATAGATATTGTAAAGACAGGCAAAGAAAGTGTAGTAGTCCTGATGTGAATCCATTCCTAAATCAACATAAAAATGATGAATTTCTTGTAAAAAGGAAAATCAATATATTTAGAAATAAAATCCAAGGAGACTTCAGTCTCTTTTGGTGCCTACTTAGAATAAGCTTTTTATTTCTAACATTTGGGATTCGGCACCAACATCTCGAACCACTTACACTGGTGGACCTTGAAATATAATAAAGGTTAAAAAGTTGTACTTTGTATCTAGAGTAGAAAAAATTTTAGAGTATAACAAATATTTCTTAGAAAACAAGATTTCATTCTATATTTTTAAAAAAATTAAAAGAGGTTGTATTAATTAAATGATAATTATTACTCAAATCAAGGTTTTCTATTATTTCACTTCAGAAAATCTGGTTCTACATAGATACACGTCCAAAGAGGACAAAGTGTTTATTTTTACTTAAATATATAACATATAAACATATTTGTTATTTATGAGAAGAGAAAGGTCCATTTCATGGTTCATGACAACTACTATTTATTCCCAGAACATGCCAGTCAGCATAAGGGCAATTCTACACTAGCTTTTTTTTTTTCCCCCCTTGCTCTCAATAAATGCATGGATCTTTTCCATCCAAGTTCACTAAATGTATAAGACAAATTTGGTCAATATCTCATTTTGTGTTAGCTTTGGATTGTGTCACAAAACTCAAAATATCTTTGAAACAAATAAATTGGAACCTGCAGAGCAATATCTAATCCTTAAAAATAAAGGGCAAAAATGAACAGACACTAAGTTTTCTAAGGCAGAAAAGTGTATCCCATACTATTTTTATTGAACTCCATTAACTCAAAAAATGTCTTCAATCAAAATATTTTTTCTTTTCCTTCACTGAGTTAAATGGTAATACAACTGTGAGTCTGCCTTGTTTCTCAGGCATTATACTTTAAGGTCCCAAATCTTACGTAAAACCATACACGACGTAGTTTCTTTCACAATTCATTTTCTAGAAGCTCAAATTTAATTATATATGCTTTAAAATAAATTCTCTCTTGACCACTACCATTCCATATTTGAGAAGACTAACTCCAGTAGAGAGAATTACAACCGTGAGATGAATCAGGCCCTCAGTTATGAACATAAACCCACAGGAGGAAGAGTAGAGATAGGACTAGGGAGAGAGAAGAAGAAACATTCATTTATATTGTTTCCACGTTGTAGCAACCTGATCCAGAAGGAGAAATCATGCTACAGGTGTGGTGTGAGTACTTCTTGAATAGTGAGGGAGGGCATCTTAATGTGTTTAAGAGGAGTGACCACATGCCACACCAACTGTGAGTGGTGAAATTATATGTAAGGATAACAATTTTACATGATGTACCAAAATTTTGAATAGAAAATTGCTAAACAAAGACTTCAATCCTTTGTGGCTAACAGAATCTGAAAACCTCACTCAAAAGTGAAGCCGGAATATGGAGACAAAAATGCAGGCTCAGAATGACCTTAGGACTGCATATAAATTGGAAGTCTTACCGAATCCTGAGAAATTGTCATAGTAAAAGGTGTTTAAAAGGATGTAAACATTACCCTTAATGTGATGGCAACAACAACAAAAGCCTAATTGTCATCTGTGAAGGTGCAGACCACTAGCAGGGAAACTTCTCCAAACACTCCATTTTCTAAAAAAGCATAGGTGCCCAGTGGTGCTGCCATTTTGAAGTGCTGCCCGTGGGAAGATTGACAGCACAGCATACCATCAGTATCCCAGTCTCAGGAACGTGCTCAGAACTGAGGCAGGTACATGAGATGCAGAAGCCATTTCAGCAGCACTGGGATCTACTCTCTGCTTTTGCGGCCTCCTGATCCAGTTTAATTGTGCCAACATCTTTTTCTTCATTAGCAAAACTTTGGTGGCATGCAAGAATATTCTCTACTAGGAATCGGGCGGCTTCGTCTATGTTTATGTTATCCTGCAATGCAAAAATAAAGAATAGGATCGATTTTTAGGACTAATTCTTGAAAGAAAGTATTAAGAATATTAATGGGAACTAGGAAAGTACACCAGCTACTGTCTTCTCTAATACTAAATTGCCCACCAAGGGTCAACACTATTGACTAATGTGGCTATGAAAATAACGCTTTTCTTTTTACCAGGTACATCCTTTCGATGTTCCTAGTTTAAAATTTTGCCACTAAGGTTCAATGAGCTATCTCGATGTCAATAATGAACCATCCTCCTCCTCTGGGATACCATTCAAATAGATGAACACATTCAGACTGAAAAATTCCTGCCTTTGAATATTTAATTCAAATACCCAGGATACATTGTGAAAAAAAAATGTTAAAGGGCTCCAACCAAACTAAAGTATGGTAAATGCATCATGTCACACCACCGTCTAAGAATACAAATTATCACTTTTAGTTGTCATTCATAAATTAGCCTGAAACAATGTTGTGAGTGAGATATACATTAAGGGCCTCCTAGGGAATGACTGGCTATCATAGCATTTGTATGACTGATATATAAGTTGTCATTGAATAAACAATAAGGAACACATAGCAAAAATTGTACTTACCCTTTAAAATTTTTTTCATCTTTGAGTAATTTCAGACTTACAAAAATATTGCAAAAATAGTAAAATTTCATGTATACCCTGGTACCATATTCCTTATCACGCTACTATCTTAGATAACCAGAGTACAGCTATCAACATCAGAAAATTAGATAACAGGGCCGGCCTGGTGGCGCACTGCTACAGTGCACCGCTTGGGAAGCGCGGCGGCGCTCCTG